ATAAACCCTAATTCATTTTCAATCTCAATTTTTCTCACTACTCACTCACTCTCTTTATCTGAAATCGAAACCTGTCAGAAAGAAGGCCGCCGTTGACAACTGCCACCACCAGATCTAACAAACATCGGCGCCTTTGAGTGCAGATCTATGGTTCGCAGGCACACAGATCGCAACGATTCATGATTGCTTCTTTTCTGCTCGCAACGATGTGGCAAGATAGACTCCAGTCAGGTGCGGTATGGTGTAGTGGCGGTATGGTATAGTGTGGTGTGGTGTGGTGTGATGGTGAATCTAGTGTGGTGGATCTAGGTAGCGGCGATGGGGATGGAAGTTGTAGGGATGGCGGGTTTGGGGTTTTTTTTGTTGGGTTGTGATTGTGGTTTGGTGTGGTGTGGTGATGCCTGTGTTGTTGGTCGCAATGGGGGTGGTGGTGGATCTGGCGGAGGCGCGATGACAAGGTGGGGGTGTGGTGGCGATGACTAGTTTGGGATTTTTTGTTGGGTAGTGGTTGTGGTGTGATGTGGTTTGTTAATGATGGTAGTGCAATATTTGTGGTGGTTGGTGATAGTGGCTGGAGATTCGATAGTAGTGGTGCTTGTAGTTTTTGTTGGCAGTTGACTGGATCTGATAGCGACGATTTGGTGGTATTGGTGTCAATGGTGGTGGTGACGACAGTGATGGGGATGGTGATGGATTTGGCAGTGATGAAGATGAGTGGATGCGGTGGTGGTAGTGTTGGTGATAAAGGTGTGTGACCACTATTTGATATATGTGACCAATTATTTGGTTATACATGATCAAGTATTAAACTGTGACTTTAAAATTTGATAACTTGTGACTTGGAAAGTAATTTGTGACTAACAAATCTAAAAACCTGTGACCGATAAATAAATCGTGACCTGTAAATTTTTTGATTTGTGATAAAATAAACTGTGGCCTATAAAAAAAATTATTTTTGACCTCGATATGTGACCTATGAAATTTTGATAAATAATCTGTAATACATAAAATTTTCTATTTGTGACGAAGAAAAAATTTGTGACCAATAATTTGATAAATTGTGATCAAAAATTAATTTTTGATTAATTAATTAATTAGATAATTGTGACCAAATTGCTTATAATTGTGACATTAACAATTACCGGAATCGGAGCAGTCGCCG